GTCACGGTGCTGTTGGGATGGGAATGGGTCCCGTGGTGCTGTTGGGATGGGATGGGCATCACGGTGCCACCAGAAGGACGAGTGCCACGACAGGTGGGACACGGCAGGGACACGGCGGGGACACGGTGGGGACATGGTGGGGACACGGCGGGAACGGGTGTCACGGTGCTGTTGGGATGGGATGGGCGTCACGGTGCCACTGCAGTGCTGCTGGGATGGGGATGGGTCCCATGGTGCTGTTGGGATGGGATGGGCGTCACGGTGCTGTTGGGATGGGATGGGCATCACGGTTCTGTTGGGATGGGATGGGCGTCACGGTGCCACCAGAAGGACGAGTGCCACGACAGGTGGGACACGGCGGGGACATGGTGGGGACACGGTGGGGACACGGCGGGGACGGGCGTCACGGTGTGGGGACAGGCGTCACGGTGCTGTTGGGATGGGAATGAGTCCCGTGGTGCTGTTGGGATGGGATGGGTGTCACGGTGCTGTTGGGATGGGATGGGCATCACGGTTCTGCTGGGATGGGGATGGGCGTCACGGTGCCACCAGAAGGACGAGTGCCACGACAGGTGGGACACGGCGGGGACACGGCGGGGACACGGCGGGGACGGGCGTCACAGTGCTGTTGGGATGGGGATGGGCGTCACGGTGCCAGCAGAAGGACGAGTGCCACGGCAGGTGGGACACGGCAGGGACACGGTGGGGACATGGTGGGGACACAGCGGGAACGGGCGTCACGGTGCCACCGGGGTGCTGCCGGGATGGGGATGGGTGTCACGGTGCTGCCGGTATGGGGATGGGTGTCACGGTGCCACCAGAAGGACGAGTGCCACGACAGGTAGAGGACATGGTGGGGACATGGCGGGGACACGGTGGGGATGGGCGTCACAGTGCCACCGCGGTGCTGCCAGGATGGGATGGGCGTCACGGTGCTGCTGGGATGGGATGGGCGTCACGGTGCTGCTGGGATGGGGATGGGCGTCACGGTGCCAGCAGAAGGACGAGTGCCACGACAGGTAGAGGACATGGTGGGGATGGGTGTCAGGGTGCCACCGTGGTGCTGCCGGGGTAGGGATGGGCATCACGGTGTTGCCAGGATGGGGATGGGGGCTGCGGTGCTGCTGGGATGGGGACGAGCATCACGGTGCCACCAGAAGGACAAGTGCCACGACAGGTGAGGACATGGGGACATGGTGGGTGGCACTGGGGTGGGGATGGGGGCTGCGGTGCTGCCGGGATGGGGACAGGCCCATGGTGCCACCAGAAGGATGAGTGCCACGACGGGTGGGGACATGGGGACGCGGTGGCACTGTGGTGGGGATGGGCGCTGCGGTGCTGCCGGGATGGGAATGGGCACCGTGGTGGCACTGGGATGGGACGGGCACCACAGTGCCACTGCGATGTGGTCAGGATGGGGATGGGCCACACAGGGCCACCAGGGCTGGGACAGGCCCCGCGGTGCCACCATGGTGTCACCGGCATGGGGATGGCCCCTGCAGTGCCACCGTGGCGTGATCGGGACAGGGATGAGCCCGTGATGGCACCGTGGTGCCATGGGGACGGGCCCCACGGTGCCACCAGCATGGGGACGAACCCCGTGGTGCCACTGGGATGGGTCCCACCGGGATGAGCCCCATGGTGCCACTGGGATGGGTCCCATCGGGATGAGCCCCATGGTGCCACTGGGATGGGTCCCATCAAGATGAGCCCCATGGTGCCACCAGGAGGGGTCCCATCAAGATGAGCCCCATGGTGTCACCAGGAGGGGTCCCACTGGGATGAGCCCCATGGTGCCA